GTCTATATGACATTTGACCAGATGATTATCATTACTTCTTAAAGACACTGAAGCTTCCCACTAAATGAGTGTAAAGGTAGCAACAATAACGAGAAACAACAAAAACAACTTCAAAGCTTGAAGAGAGGGCAATACACAAGACTCCAGCCCTTGTGTAAGCATTCACTTTAGACATGTTCTCCTCTTGGGGCAATGCTTGGAAAAGATAAATCTTTACTCCCAGTTAATAACAGAAACTTTACCCAATACTGCTCTACATTCGTGTTCACTTTCATGTCTCTCCCAGGAGTCCACACTCAAAAACCATACCAAATATCTAAGCAAAATACCAATAAGTAGATTCTGTGGTTAAAAAAAAATGATACATACAGTTTTTTGTTGTTTTGCTTTTTGTTTGTTTCTGAGAAAAGTTCTCTCTGTCTAGCCCTACCAGCCCTGTAGACCAGGCTGGCCTTGAACTCAGAGATCTACCTGCCTCTGCCTCCCAAGTATTGGGATTAAAGTCATGTACCACTATCACATGGCTAAAATCCATATATTTTTCAAACAGATCGCAAACAAATTACTAAAGAAGTCAGTGGAACTGGAAGACAGTCCCTGGGAGCTATGCCTAGGTTTTCCAACTTAAGGCAACTTGGTTCCTGGATCTTAAGTGTTCTATTTGACTTTGTCACCACCTGATTTGGATGAGTACCATGAGTTATATGATACCACACAAAAACATGCTGTAAAAAATGTAATGCTGCATCACACAAGTGTAAAGTACAATCACATTCAAATGCAAACCGGCAGCTGAGCTGAGGAACACTGTAGAAGGGTTAAGAAGACAATGGAATAAACTGGTCAGATGGCTACTGTCGGTTTTGACAGCAAGTGCCCTAGTCTTCTCAAACAGCAACCACACAGCACATATTCACAGACGACCCCGTCGCATCTACAGAAAGAGATTTACAAGTAGCTACTCTGAGCCAGTTAAACACGCGTGACAGGGCACCTCGTATCTGTAATTCTCCAGTCCTTATTTATACACCATCAGATCAACGTCCTGCATTAGAAGTTCCAGCTAAAGGATTCCCTCGGCCATTAAAACTTTCATATGATACCTTGAATTGGCTTGGCATACAAACTACCCGGGACTGCTGGAATATTAGTTTAGACTGACAATGATGCAGGAGAGAAACTCTTTCTTCACTGTTAGACTCTGAAAATGTGGACACTGGCTCTGACACTTGCCAGTCTTTACCCAGGTCAAGTTATGGCAATAGCAACCGGTATGTCACTCGGCAAGGAAAATGGCTTTCAAAACTCACATTCACTGTCTTCTCAAAAGGAAACCTGTCAGTTCACAACAGTGAAGCAGAGAGGAAAATGTGATTTTTCTGTCACACTCTCTGGACCTCTCTGGCAGAGCGGCCTAGTGGCCTCTTATACCCAATATCCTGCTAGTCCCTGTCCACCAGAAAGAAACACTTCTTTAAGAGCAACATTTTGAAATATGCAAAACAAAGCATGAGCAAACAACTATCTATGGTTGATATCGATGGGTCCCCAATATTTCTTATTGCTTTCTTACCAAGCCAGAAACCAGGAGAAATGTGGCAAGAATCAGAAACCAAAGCTGATGCCAGGTATCCATACTGTGGCTTCCAGCTGGAAGTTGCAAGCTGTGGCAGTCATGGTAGAGCTGACTTTTAAAAGCTAAATATCGTAACTTCCGGTCTTTGATCTTAATGTTAATGATCCATCTCTCAAGTCATCTTGCTGCTGTAGTAACTTCCAATCAAGGAGGTAAAGTCCAGGGTCACTAACATACCTCTTCCCCTCCTCCGCCTTTACTGTGCCAGCATTAAATTGCTAAAGCCTGTCACTGAGATAAATTCTCTAGTGTATACATACTGTTCCCCAACACTTTTAAACACCGCTTGAGCAAAAAGAAACATACATGTATACACGCACACAGTATGATTCAACCTCTCAGTCTTCCTGAGACTGTAGTGATATTTTATTAAATCCAGAATAGCCCGTTTCCTGGTTAGAGCTCTGAGGATCGAGTATTAGGTAGGAGGAAACTAACTCCTGTGAGGCCAAAAGTGATAAATATGTGTCAGAGAATGTACCCACCGTGATGGGCCACATACATGGAAATAAGGATGTTTCCATAGCAAGACTACATAGCAGGATAACTGGAGGAACATTTTTCCAAGGATGCCTAAGGAGATGACAACATGGATGATATGAGGCTGGGCCAACACCTCTGGACTTTAAGCTTAGACACAAATGATTTATCCTGTGTTGGAGATACACTTCAGCAGCAGAGCCCTTGCCTAACATTTACAAGGCCCCGAGTTTGAACACCAACACCATATCCACAAAAAGTTTCCCCTGCATTGGCTGCAGTGAAATATCTACCACCTCCACAGAAATAATAATGACTCTTAAAGAAAAATAAAGTGAGTGGGCTAGAAAGAAGGCGTGGCAGTTAAGAGCACTGGCTCCCCCTCAAAAGACTGAGGTGCCGTTCGCACCACCCACATGGCAAATCACAATTGCCCGTAATTCCAGCTCAAGGGAATGGGACGCCCTCTTCCAGCCTCTGCAGGCACCAGGTACAGGTGTGATACACAGCCATATATGCAGGCAAACAGCCGTGGACATACAAATAAACTAAGCTTCTGTTAGAAGAAAAGGGAGATAAAGTTAGACCCTTTAATGAGTAAGACCAAATTATGAACATCTGGGCCTTCTTTCCAAGCTGCCAAGTGGGCCTAACTGCTCTCCATAAATCAAGACAAACAGTTATCATTTGGAAGTAGAAGAGAAGCAGAAAGAGCAGGAAGCAGGAGTTCCTGGGAGTCTATTTTCCGCTCTAATCACAGGGTATGACCCAAGTCTTAGTATGAGTCTCATAGAGAGTCAACAAGGCACACTCCAACTGCAGAAGCCACACTCTGCCTCCGCTGAATGGATGGTGCCTCTTCTCTTCTGTCCTGGGGTTTCAGTGAAACTCTACCACAGAAGCGTCCCTTGAGGGGAAGGCTCCAGCTTACCTCCAGATACCATCCTGTGCATCCTGTCCCTGGGGACCCTTCACGAGCTTCATCCCGGCATTTGAAACTGTGTCTGCCACAGCTGTGGGTCCAACGGCACACTTCATTACTCCCTAGACAACACCACCAACTGAAAACACAAAATTTAGAGATCGCCGTGAAATGCCCTGGAGGCAGCAGGAAAACTTGTTTCTCTCAAAAATGTGGTTCACAAAACATCCATAAAACAGGACGGCCTTCTAGACCTGTGTTTTGCAAATTATGAGGACAGAAAGGATTCTGCAAGATCTAGAATAGACGTGCAATAAGAGGATTCAAATCCACAGTGTTCTCACAGTGTAATTTCCTCTACCTGATTCTTCCTCAAGAAAGTGCAAATTGTGGGGCTGAGTCTCTAGCTCAGCTGGTAGAATTTTTACTTATCATGAGTGAAGCCTTGTGTTCAATCTCCAGCACCACGTAAAGCCGAGAGCTGTGGTATATGCCTGTAATCCCTGAACTCAGGTAGATGTGGAAGGATCAGAAGTTCAAGGTCATACTCTACAACGTAAAGAACTTAAGGTCAACCTGGGCTACATGATCCTGTCCCAATTAAAAACAAAAACAGCAAGTTATGGCATGCATTTCCTAATACAAGCTCTTCTTGAAATATTTTTTAAAAGATTTATTTATTTTTGTATAAGAGTGCTCTGTTCACACACACCAGGAGAGGGAATCCGATTCCATTACAAATGGTTGTGAGTCACCATGTGGTTGCTAGGAATTGAGCAATTGAGCTCAGAACCTCTGAAACACCAGCCAGTGTTCTTAATTGTTGAGCCATTACTCCAATCCCCTTCATGAAATCTTAAAAACACCCCTGAACATATTGAGATGCTCCCTTCATCCCTCTCTACATATTTGTGTGTGCATATATACATATATACATACATACGTATACATACGTGCCCAGATATATATGTGCACTTTAACTACATACTTGTGGAGAAAAGGAAAAGAACAATACAATTATGGGTGAATCTAGAAGTCCCTGCATTGAGAACACCAATGCACGACCAACTAGGCAATGAAAGTGCTCATAAGACATAGGATCCGGCTGACCACACTGCTTGATACTGATCAGGCTGTCACATTATTCACGGAGATTTTTCAAAGTCCCTCCCTTAGATTAACATCTTTTACCACAGTTCTCAGAACTGTGATTTGTTAGTAACTATCCAGGGTGCTGCAAAAAGGGGGAAACTGCCAGGATGTGTAGATACCCAGCGGGAGACAGATTTTGAGGAGCTGGTGCCAGATGATCACAGAGATTTGCTCATCCAAAGTCTACAGATGGAGTTGCAGCCATTGAGCAAGATGACCGGAGAAATTCTTCTTCCTTTGATGCTCAGAAAACATCCAAGGGCCGGGAGGAGCTCATCAAGAGTCAGTGGACCGTGGCTGAGAGGGGAAAATTCTATCCCTACACAGACGACCCCCCCCAACGCCTGTGCTGGTGTCACATAGGGGCCCTTCTGCCGGCAGCCAGCCCACAGGGGATAGTGAGACACAAATGACTCATGCCTTCATTAGATCAGGTCACAGCTTCTTCCAACCACCACAACAGGACTCCCAGGGGACTCTAGTCTAGCTCAGCTGGTATCTGGTACTGTGAACATCTACAGTCTAGAGTGGTATTGGTTGACACTGGGGGAAAAAAGGAGCACTGGAACCTGCTTCTTAATTGGTTGTATGTCTACTTCATGGGACTGCTAGAGAGATTTGGGGGCTGGAACAATTGCTCCATGGTCTTAACACTGCCTGCAACATCAGCTCCAAAGGATCTGACGCCATGTTCTGAACTCCACGGGCCCTTGCACTCATATAAGCAAACACCACACAGAAACATATGAAGACACATAACTTTTTAAGTAACAGAATGTATCTTTTTTTTTTT